ATATCTAAAGCAGAGAGATGTAGTTAGGAGATATATTGTTTGCTCCCAGTCTAAACTTACCAATATACAAATGTCCATAGGAAGAAAGACCTTTTGTCTTTTACTATGATAGAGAGTTGCTCTTAAACAGGTGACAATGCCTTGTGCTTTCCCAATGTGACTGGCTGCATGATCTGCATGGATATCCCGTATACCTGTATTTGTAGAAATGAAGGTTATAAACCACATAACCAGTAATAGAGCAGCCCGAGTGTAACATATTAACAAGTCTCATGGGCAGAAACTTCTTGTTTCAGGACATAAAAGTAACTGGGGAAGAAGGGCAAAGCAATTGATCATGTCAAACTGGGAGGAATTGATTGCAAATCTGTAGGTGAAAGGCAGTTTGAGTGAAAGCAAGCATGACATGACAGAGTTCATGAATCCAAGGAAAAAAAGGAGCAAGAACAAAACTAAGATGGTAAACATTTTGCAGGACAGGATTAGAATTCAAAGTAACCTTGACAAATTGAATAATTGGTCTAAAAATCAACAAGACAATCAATGTTAGGTATAAAATACTACACTTAGAAAGCAAAAAAAAAAAAAATCAAATACACAGCTAAAAAATGGGGAATAACTAGTGATGCAGCAGTACTGCTGAAAAGGATCTGAGAGTTACTGTGGATTTCAAATTGAATATGATATATTAACAAGAGTGTTGTAAGATACAGGAACAATTGTTCTGCTCTATGAACTAGTGAGGCCTCAGCTAGAGTTCTAGGCACTACATTTTAAGAAAGAAAGGACAAATCGGAGAGACTCCAGAGGACAGCAGCAAAAATGATACAAGGTTTAGAAAACCTGATGTCTGGAGAAAGGTTAAAAAAATGGTATGTTTAGTCCTGAGAAAGGATGACTGGGAGATGGGTCCTTATAACAGTTTTCAAATATGTTAAGAGACTTAGAAAGAAGAATGATCAATTGTTCTCCATGTCCACTGAAAGCAGGACAGGTAATGAGCTTTAATTTGAAGCAAGGAAGATTTAGGTTATAGAGCCGTTGGTTAAATTGAGGTTTCTCAAAAGCTTTAAGTTTTACTGTTCAGAGAAAACAAAAACTTTTAGCATAGTTAATTTGGCATTTATTCTCTTCAGTTATGTCTATATTTATATTGCCAATCCTCCTCACTGGATGTTTAGTCAAAATGTCCTTTTATTTTGCGTTCCATTCGTCTCTTGATCTGATTGGTGTTCTTAGCTACTATGTCACTGCAAAATTATATTTAGTTCACTAATGTAACTTGTCTAATTTAGCTATGCCTATATTTTCTGAAGCTGCAGTGTCTTCTCTGAGCACATTTTCAATATTATTCTTTAATATTTATATTATAGAATCTGGGCTTGGACTGGGGTAATATAGCGCAAAGAGATATGGCTGAGGTTTTTGTTTTTTTTTTTTTTTTTGGTTAAGACTAGTAGTCAAGTCACTACTCAACTAGTTGCTCCCCCTCCACCCCCCGAACCCATTGCTGCCTCTGTATCAGAGCCAGCAAGGGGGGCGGGAGGGTAGCAGGAGCTGGTGCTGGGGGGAGCCAGCTTAAAAGCCAGTTTCCCCCAGCACCATCTCTGTGGGTGGAGGGGAAGGGAAGGCAGAGGTGCAGTGGGGAAACAGCGCGAGCAGGGACTGAAGCAGTCCCTGCTCGTGCCAGGTCCTGACTGCTGTGCCTCTGCTTTTGAAATGTTGCAAGAGCCCTGCGGGACTCTTGCTACATTTAAAAGGCAGAGGTGCAGCCAGAATAGCGAGCACCCCGCTCTCCCCGTATCAACTAATCAAGCAGTCAATGGAAATTCCATTGACTACTCGATTAGCTGGTTAATCAAAATTTTGACATCTCTAGTTAAGACCATCTAAACCATCAGAGCTGGTGAGCAGAAAAGTGAATTCTGAGATAGACATGGTAGCTATAAAAGTCTCCAGAGTTGGTTCTATCAAATCAAAAGATGGAAGTCAGTCCATCAAAGAGATTTCCTTCAAAACATGGAGGCGGATTATTACTACCAATATTAGAAGTACACAGTGACAGTTGAGTGCTCAAGAACCATGTGGTTAGTTCTCATCCAAAATATAGACAGAGTTAGACATTGTCCCTACACTCTTCACTCCTTTTCCCTTTCTAAATAAATAGGTCTAATAGTCAATGACTGATAGGCTAGACAACTGGCCTATTCTCAGGGTCTGATAGTTTGGTTTTTTTACTTAGCATATGATACATTTTAAGAGAGTTACATATGGCTATGGCATTTGCAATAGGTTCAGTTTTGTAGATTTAAGGTTGGATTTTCAGAAGTGCTGAGCGTTCTTTTCCCATTAAAGTCAATGGCCACTTTACTTCTGACTTTAATGGAAGCCGAACTGGCTCAATGATCAGGACTTTTGAAAATCCTTCCAATAAATATAGTACCAGTAATAGATGTATTGATAAATTCTCCATACAAATCTTAATGAAGGAAAAGCACATACCCAGCATTTCCAACGTGAGATACAGGAGAGCACTATGAGTGTTCTCAGCATATGTTTCAAGTTCTTCCATGTTGCGATATGCTCTGTCATCCAAATTTTTCTCCTGTAGTTTGGGAACAGAACATGAATAGGTATGAATCTGTATTCCAACATGAACAAAGGATTTTTGTAAAAACTGATAATTATAAGCAGATCTACTTAATTCTTCATTAGGTATAGTGGAAAAAAGTAACATATTAGAGGATGGAGAAGAATTGCACGTATGTAGTTACACACATTTATGATTATAACCATATACACATTAAGGAACACATTTAAAAACATCTCCAGCAACACAAAATACTACGTATGTGAAAGAGCAACCAACTAAAGTTGTTGAAAGAACCACAACTACTATGGATTTAAGTTCTCTCTTGTAGTGTTGCACTAACATTAAATCCATTGGGGCTTGTTTACACTGGAAGTGCTTTGCCCACACAGCAACACAGATGACATCCCCTACGACAGGTACAGTATATACACCAACAGGAGCTTTTTGCTGACAATAACACTGCCACTTCCCCAAATGACATCAGCTATGCTTGAGAGATAAGATGTGAGAGACAGCATCGTTTACTGGACCAACTTCTGTGTTTAAAAGAGAAACGACAAGCTTTTGAGCTTATACAAGCTCTCATATCCTGGGGCTGACATGACTATGCTAACACTGAACATTAACTATGCTGATGGAGACACACTGTCTGCATATATGCACTGTACTGGAGATTTCGCTGACATAACTATGTCCTCTAGGAGGTGTGGTCTTTTCACATCTGACCAATATATCTCTGCCAAAAAAAACTTTGTAGTACAGACCTGGCCTATAGTAAAGGTGGGCAGTAATTTTTAATGGGGGGCACTCCAATAATCTGGTAAATGGTCAAGGGCCGCATTCTTCTATGACATTAATGAAGGACATGCAGAGTCTGGGATGGAGGTTGGGTGCAGAAGGGTGCTTGAGATTGGAGTGTAGGAGGGGGTGTGGGGTCTAGGAGGGAGTTTGAGTGAAGGAGTGGGTTGTGGCAAGCACTTGGGGTTCCAGAGGGGGTAAAGTGTCCAGGAGGGGGTGCAGGATCTGAGACCACACATGGGTGTAGGAGAGGGTTCTGACCTGGAGGAGGGGGTAGGATTTGGGAGGGGGTTGTGGCCCAGGGGAAGGTGCAGGGGTTTGAGTGGTGACCTAGAGCAGGAGGGGGTTGTGATCTAGGGCAGGGAATTGGGATAAAGGAGGGGGTGCAGAGTATGGGATGGGGTATGGGTGTAGCAGCAGGGATGCAGAGGGTTTGAGTTGTGACCTGGGCAGGGACGCAGGAGGGTGTGCAGAGAATTTGGTTTGTGACCTAGACCAGGGAATTGGGGTACAGGAGGGGGAGTGCCAGGTGCAGGCTCTGGCCAGGAGGCACTTACCTTAGGTAGCCTCCGGCCAGCAACCCAGCAAGACCCTCAGGCAGGGAGCCTGCCTGAGACTCCCACTGGATCATGGGATGGTGGCAGGCTGGATCTGGTGGTTTGACAGGCCAGATCCATCCTGCGGGCCTTATTTTGCCCAGCCTTGCCTCAGAGTCTTCATGCCATGCTACTGCAGACTCTCACTCTTAGTTCTGATGAAGGGTCTATACAGTGTTTACATCAGTAACTGCCAATTCTATTTTATCATCAGTGAATGAGGCTTATATCTCAGAGAAAAAAAATTACAGATATCAGATTTCTCAACAGCAGTGATGGGCAACCTGCAGCCCAGGGTTCTAAGTATGGCCATAAGACATTTTGTTTACTGCTGCTCACATGCAGCAGGAAGTAGGAATAAGAGATCCTCCGGAATAGGGCTTTATTCCGGAGGATCAGGCCAGTCTAGACGCTTTTTTCCGGCTTTTCCCCAAGCCGGAAAAAAGCGGCGGACATGTTTATTTAAATCCGCAGGGGATATTTAAATCCCCCGCGGATTTCCCTATTCCCACTTTCAAAATTAGCATGCCCCTTCCGAAGAAGGGGCCAGTGTAGACGTAGCCATATTGTGTAAATGAAGACATTAAGTTTCAGAGTCAGATTCCATGAACACTACTGTTTTTTAAAGCGAAAAATGAAATTAAGAGCTGAAATAGGTATAGGACCAGGACCCAGTGTGAGCCAGGCTGCTGGCCAGCCTACTAAAAAATTTAATGGCAGGGAGAGGGGGAGAGGGAAATGTGTGTAGTCAATAGCGTTAATTTATAAGCTTTTGTTTATCGATTAATCGACTACACTATTACATCCCTAGTATATAGGGCACTCCTATCCAAAGAAGAGAATACAACTATACAGAAACAGAAAAGATTAACTCTTTAGGTTTTGGTTAGGTACACATGATTCAAAAAGTCAATATGGATGCATAAAACAGATTAAAAAATTACTTACTCTTTCATCAATAATCTTCAGAAGCCACCTTTTAGTCAAGTTATGTCTCTTGATAGCCTGGAAATTAACAAAGAAAATCTGTTACAGTTTAGAAAAAAAAAGGAAAATTATTGAAAGCAAAGTATGATAAATACTGTCTTTTTAAAAATGATATTTTTGTTACTAAAAGTAAGATTTGACTTGATCAGTATCAGGAAGAATAAAATGTATGCAATACAAATTAAGTACAAAACTTTTCAACTGATGTCTTTACTGCTGCTGCAGAAGAAACAGAATCATGAACCTCAAGCCTACAGGTAGAGAAGGGGAATTTTTTTAAATTTAAAATTACATTTTAAAGGAAATATTTTTAAGTCTATACATTTATTTTGTTACTAAGTCATTCTATTACAATTTCCCACAAAATATTTGCAGATCACATTGTTCACTTTCCAAAAGAACATTTTATTTCCTACTAAGATAAGCAATGAAGAGAGTAAAAGATTTCCCTAATGGCTTATAAGGAGAATAATAATTAGCATGAGTGTATATGATATGTCATCAGATACTGTTTATACATAATATGCCAATATAGATGAGTATTATATATAAAATTATAATTATTCAGTGTGCTGTTGAAAACTAATAATCTTCTACCATCTTATCAGCATCTCATCTCTGCCAAATTCTTGCCATCCTTCCATAGCAGCTTCACTCTATTCTGGTTTTCCCAGTCTTATTATTTACAATAATGATCTCAAAATCACCTTCAGTTTTTCAGCCAGGTTGTACTGTTATGTACAATGAGTCTGACATGATCAGCTGTTTATGACAGAATCAAGGCTTTCTGTAGATCATTATCTGTTTCTTTGCATCCATTTTTAAACCCTAAATAACTGTTTTGCAGATTTTTTTTTAAATGTTGCAAAGGTACATCTTTCTGATTTCAGTGAACTTTAGTTTAGACCCTAGATGCCCGCCCACCCACACCCCATGCCCTCCAGTGGCTGGAAGTAGCTTGTTCCTTCCTGCCAACAGACTGTCAAAAGGTGGCTAACACCTCCAGGCTGCTGCTGAACAGACAACCCAATTGCCTCATGCCCCTGGCTACAGCATGGCAGGAAGGGGTTAAGTGCAAGGAAGCTGATTGCAGGGCTTCAGCAAAACTGGCCAGAGACGCAGCTCTGCAGAGGAGGGTGCTTGTTAGATGGAACAGCCCTATGCTCTCTGTAGGAGGACCTAGTGGGCAAATAGTGTGCTAAGCCCCTTGCCAGAGCAGGGGGATGCTGTTACCGAGCTTGCAGGTTTGGGCTGTGAACAGGTCTGGAACTCACTCCCTCTGCCACTCCAGAGCTTTGCTGAGAGGTGGAGAGGTTTCCTTGTGCCAGCACTGTGTGGGGCTTTGGTTCTTCTTGTCCGGCACCTGTGGCTAGAGAATCTTGGGCTTTCCCCGAGCACTGGCCCAGGCAGAAGCAGTGGGGAAAGGAAGGAGTCTGCTAGCCAGCCTGTTGGGGAGCTGAGCATTCCAACCAGGAGCTGGTCCTCTGCACAGTGCTGGGAGCAGGATGAGGCCTGCCGGGAGGGATACAAAGGAGCAGCTGGACTGGGGAATCAAAGGAGTAAAGCAGGGAAAGGACAGCAAGAAGGGACGCACATTAAGGGCTGATGGGTGTGCACCAGAGGCAACCTGTAACCAGCTGCTGCCTAGCACTTCCCCGCAATCACCAGCCAGCTCACTCACAGCCAGTGCCAGTTGGAAACAGGATGGGGAACAGGACCCTACTGACGGAGAGCCATCTCACACAGGGGCTTCTCCGATGGACCAGCACAGGGAGCTGCCAGCCCCATGCACTTCATCTTTATCCCACCACCAGCCCTGCACACCCACCCCCATCATTGACCACTGCCCCACCACTACCACTGGTGGGTGGGTAGCAAGCAGAGATCTGACCAGCAGCAGGACCTATCCAGAGTGATGTGGTGGGTGCAGAGAGGACAGACAGAAAACACAGAATAATTTACCCATTTAAGAAAAATTTAGGACACCCTCAGGAGGGCTTACATATGGGACTATCCTTTTAAAAGGAAACATCTGGTCACCCAAGAAGCAGCAAGTGAAATTTTATTAAATTACAGATACTCAGGCCCAAAATGTCAAATAACTTCTGATTTTGGGTGCATAACTTCAGACATACAAGCCCTGGCTGAAGCTCTGAACACTCAAACTCCCACCAAAGTGAGTTTAGAACTAGGCTCTTATTGATTCAATTCATGTCCACGATGGGAGTTTTTTAAAACGCAGCCCACAGATACACTGTAATTTCATATACGCAGCGCATAGATTCAAATGTCTCGGGGGCACGGTGGTGGTGGGGGGGGGGTTAGCATAGCTGCCTTCCAAGCAGTCAGTCAGTCTGGGTTCATTTCCCAGCCAATGCAGACTCTGGCTCAGCTCTTCCCTTTCTTATGTCTACTTGCTGATGTGAATATCCATGGAGAGAAATCAGTATCTGCTGATCCACAAGGCTCTAATCCCAGGAGACTGCAGCCGGAAGAGGAGCATGGTGCCGTTGCACATAGGAGCCAGCACTCTGTGCCGGAAGCTCCTCCCAGCCATGCAGCTATACTTCCCTCACTACTACTGCCAACAGGGCTGTACAACCCCAGGTAGGAAACACAGCTTGGGGTATGTCTAAACATGTTCTTGTGGGAGTGGCAGCACAATGTGCCTCTCCTTTGGCCGGAGCATTTCCAAGGAATACAGCCCTGCAAAACAACAGATAGCAGTTTTTATCCACAAGTTTATGTATTCAAGCAGGGCGCTACATATACAATTTGATAAGTTTCCTGATAAAATACAAAACATGTTCAAATACTGGAATTTTCAAGCATGGGTGTTTAGGCTTTAAATATCAATGGAGCTGCAAGTGTTCAGTGCCTCTGAAAGTCAGGCTCACTAAACTTTGGGCACCAAGTTTGAAAGTGTGTCAAATTACATGTAAAATATTTGGGAAGATGTATGTAGTATACACCAAACTGATGACTGATGTTTAAAACTGCAATTGTTCCCCATGCAAACCTAATAATGAAAATATGTATGCAATGTGTCTGATAGAAGAAAGGTTAACCATGAAACAATATGAATTGAGCTACGAGAGGGGTCTGCAGGTTATTTTTTTCAAACATTTTGCACAGGAATTTTTTATAACAACCTGTCATTTATTAGGCAGCTACTTTCTGCAAAGACCAAAATAACCATACTAGAGGTTTCTGGGTGCATCCAGTGGCACAGGAAATATAATCACGACTCCAGGAACCAATATGAGTGTATGAAGACAAGGTAATCCAAGGAAACTGGTAGTTTGCCTCTGTGTTCTCTTCATTCACCCAAGCTAAGGGAGTACCCAATAAATGCCTGTGAACTATTTTTCACCAGATCATTTGGCAACTGACTCTTTTTTGAAGTGCCTGACAGAGAAGCCAGATATGAGAGCAACCCTTGTTGCAGAAATTAGGGATGTGAAGCTTTTGCTTATCAGAGAGTCAACAGACTAGTCACTCACCCAATCCTTGCTGCCTCTATCAGAAAGAGACGGGGAGGGGCGGGGGGGAAAAGGAAGCACTGCATGGAGCCTAGGATCATCGTGGGGAGTCCCCAGCTGACCCTGGGCTCCATGCGGCGTTGCCACTTTGAAATGCCGCAGGAGCATGGGGCCAGCAAGGGACTGCTTGAGTCCCCCACTGGCCCTGTGCTCCCCGCAGCGCTTCCGCCTTTGAAGTGTAGCAACAGGCCTGTTGCTACATTTCAAAGGTGGAAGTGCCCTTTTCGACTAATGGAATAGTCAATGCAAACGGCATCAATTATTCAATTAGCAAAATAAGCAAGATGTAACATCCCTAGCAGGAATGGCTCTATTCCCTCTCCAACTACGGGACTGTTTTGCTCTCGGGAAAGTGGGTATATGACCAACAAGTTCTCTCAAAATCTGGCATTTTATCCAGATGTCCATCCACTCAAAGTTTGCTACACCTATACTTTGTGAAGAAAGGATTGTTTTTCATATAGGCAGGCCCCAATGAGGAGAGCTGGGAAGAACATTTGTAGATATAACCCAAGCCAGGGATCTTTGCAAAGAAAAAGGTAACTAAGAACCAAATCCATTCTTCTAATCCCAGAAAGGTGGGAGAACAGAGACATGCTTGAATGTGGGCACTCTGCCATGTACTGAGTCACAGAGACAGAAAGTGAATTAAAAGCATAAAGTTGCAAAAATAAGATTACCAATCTCAAATTTTGCCTTTTGCAGCAAAACATCTAGTGTGTCCTATTGGGGCTCTGAATCCAATAATCTGTAACTAAAATCCAGAATATTTGCCATCTTTTATTTATAATTGTATTAGTGCTCTACTGTGGCTAAAGAAAACAATTTTCAGCTGGTGATATCTAGGAGATTCAACACTATTCCTAGACGAAACTCAAGTAGATGGAGTTCATTTTATTTCTTGGCAATACTTGTGTTCTCTTTCTTCAGCAGATTCTTGTTTAAATCCAATTATAATTGGAAAAGGGTTGTTGACAGAAACAGGCACTGATTTGTGCTTGGCTTCACACCTAAAGGACGAAGAGAATCCCAGGTGCATCTACCAACCCAGAAGTGCCAGCATCAAAAAAGGAGATGGTAAAGGGCTGTGAGCCCTGACCTCAGATCAAACACAGACAGTTAGCAGATGGGGCTTCATGATGTCCTCAAGTGAACCCTCATCATACACAAACTGCAATACAGTAATCCATCATTATAGGGGGGTTCCCTATTTGTTCTGCATTTTCAACAGAGAGGCAGATGGCTCCTTATTTAGAGAGTCTAAGATGTCAGTTTGTGGTCCTAAAGCAATGACCTACCCCAGCTGGAAATCATAACTATAAAGCAACATATTGGGGTATACTTATTCCCATGTTAAGTACAGGCAAGCATCAGTCAAATGGTGCAGTGGGGTCCTAACTACAGTGAACAGGTTCAGTCAGCTGTCATTTTGTCTTCAACCATGGTCAGTGGAGATGCCAAATTGTAGGTAGGCTTGAGTTTTTGGTTCTGGAGTTTCCATGAACTTACACAGATGTGAACTGAAGCAAGTATTTCAAAAGTTGGTAGGTATGTAAAATCCATGTAACTCAGCATCCAAATTAGCACTTGCATTTTATTCAAGGTTTTTTTTAAAATGACAATCTGTCAGCTATATAGTTTTCTAGGAAGTCTGAGTGCAATGGGATAAAACTATGTACATTATTTGGTAACTTTTAGGGTTTAGACCTCCTATAGTGTACCTTTGTTTGGTTTGCTTCCTAGCTTTAGTCTCAGATCAAACTAATTTCTGACTTTTTTCACTTTTTAAACCTTTGGAAAAGACTAGCAGAGGCTCAAGAAAGTTTACATAATTCTTTAATTGATACCTATTTACAATCCTCACTCTTAATTTTGCCACTTCACTGGGTTAGAAGGCAAGTTCTCTGATTAACAGAGATTTGACTACTTGCTACACTCTTCTGGTACCTTCTCCCTAGATATCAGCATCATCACTGTCCATCTCTCCCTTTTTTGCTTCTAGGAAATAACACATATCATACATTACCTGTATAACACAAAATATTGTTAGCATGCAGTACAGTATATGCAAAACAACAAAACAGTTTCCCTGGGTAAAAGAATAAACATAAGTAAACTAGAAGATTTGCCCAGTATTGCGTGGGTCCTTAACTCAATTAACTTTTGTTTTTTAGAAAATAAATTGAAAATATACATGCTTCATTTAAATCATTGTTCGGGAAGGGAAGGGAGCTGAGGATGAGGGTTTCAATATACAGGCTGCCTTGGGAAGAGAGGACTACCTCAGCCTCTCCCACCATAGTAGTTTGGGGCCAGGTGAGAAGCATCTCTCCATGGTTGCTATAGCTCCAGCAGGCACAGCCAGGGAAGGGAGCATGTCGCCTGGCTGGGGCAGGTCCAGATTTGTCTGCCCCTGCACTCTCAGCTACAGTGAGGAATGCAGCAAACTGTGCACTTTCCCCTTACTCCCTGATGAAGGGGAATAGCCAGCAAGGTCCCCATACAAATCAAGAGGGTGAGGGAGCTTCAGCCCCCCTGTCCTCTCTAAAGGATATCTGGGGGATGGGAGGCTTGGGGCTAGGGCAGTCCCAGACTGGGACAGGGAAGGGGGGCATGCCCCCAGCCAGCCCCCTTCACCTGCTTGATGAGTCTGTTTTCTGCATGGTTTTCTGAAAAGCAATCCTTTCCAGGCACATCCTATTTTCCTGGCACAAGCAAATCCTTACCTTGCTTTAAGTTATGATAAGAGGAAGCTTTTTCCCCCGAATTTGGTGATCCCCTACTATTTAGAAGGAGTTGAAGACAGAGATACACACTCTCCAATATATAGTAGATTTTAAGACAGGAGAGATTTTACCTTCCACAATTCTATAGCAACTGGCTGATGTGGTGGGTTATCACAGTACATATCTTCCACAGCTTTCCTCCAAAACTGCATTCGCATCAAACCTATGGTCTTCTGTGTTATGGAGTCTTTAATCTGGAAAGAATACATTGAAGAGTTAAATTTACAGTCTCCTGAAAATATTTAGCTTAAGATACCCAAGAAGCATAGCATCTTTACTGAATGATCTGCATGATCACATCCCATCTGTAGATATCTTTTCACAAACAAGGCTATCTATACTATTGGCTAAATTGGCACTGCTACAATCAATGCAGCGATATTGATTTGGTGAATCTGGTGAAGATATACTAAGTGTCAGTGTCATGAACAGGGAGAGTGCTGAGCAGCACCCGGTGACTAAAGGGTTAACTCAGGTACTTAGCAAAGGTGTCAGCCAGGGGGCAGGGAGAACCAATCGAGAAATAGAGGGTTGAAATTTGAAATGGATCTAGGTTCCCTGCCTACTTTCTTTGTGCAGAGTTAAACCAGGAGTTGAAACACAGAATGATTTAAACCTAGGCAGGACTACCATCCCCACACCCCCCCCAATGGAATTCATGGCATAGGAGTGGACTGAACAATCAGAAAATTAGAAGTGAGTACCAGGAAAATGTGAGTCCAATCGTGTTCAGGGTATTTTTTCTTTATTTTGTGGTTTGGTTTGAACTGCTCTGTGTGAATCTATGCCTCCCCTTCATATTTACTACCATCTAAGCATTGTGCTGAGACTTTTCTGTTTTTTAATTTGTTTTCCTTGGTTGCTCTGTAACATCTAGCAACCAAGTATGCTTTATCAAGTTTATCTTTTGTTTTGTAATAAAAATCACTTCTTTTAAGGTGATGATTTGATTCTTGTGTCCTGGAAGGTCTGTCTGGGTATCTGCATGCCTCAGTCTGAGGGGTCAGCCATCAGAGACTGCAGCTTGTTTTTCCTCTTTTCTTTTTCAAGCTCTTTTGGGGTAAAAGAGCTTGGGGTCCCCCTGGAGGTGATATCAAGTATTCACCTCTGTTTTTAGGGCTCAAAAAGCCCATTGATGCTGCACTATGAAGACACCTGGTAAGTCAACCTAAGCAACATTGATTCCAGCTATGATATTCACATAGCTGAATATATCAGAGTAGCATAACTTTGTTTGATTTGCCTCCATAGTGAAGACAAGCTCCAAATCAATGGCAAAGTGCTCGCCCATCGATGCCCATATGCTACCTCCCCAAAAGGCAGAAATTATGTCAACAAGAGTGTCTCCTGTCAACACAGCGCAGCATACACACAGTACTGTAAGTCAACTACACTGACTTCAGCTTTAGTATACCAACCCTGAGAGAGCAAACAAGCATAAGATGACTCTACAGAACGGTTTCCCAACCTATGGGTTGGAACTCAAATATGGGTCACCATTACATTTCAGAAGGGTCACCAAGTGTCTCCCCAGGTGGCTCTGGCCTCCCTCCTTGCTCCATTTTTGAATTGCCTTGAGTTATCAAGTCTTCCTAAATTGTCAAAATGGGTCCCCATCTGGAAAAGGTTGGAAACCGCTGCTCTACAGGTTGGTCATTAGAGGACTCAACTAGATCCTGAGTCTATCACCTCCTTTCAATAGACTTTATTTAATCAGAGTGCAATAACTTCAACATGAAAGACTGAGGGATCCCCACATTAGAATATCCCATAGCCCAAATGGTTAGAAAACTCACCTTAAGAGGGGTCACATCCCTGTTCAAATCCCTTCTTCCCTCAGGTAGAGGAGGGATTTGAACCAAGAATCTCCCAGATGAATACCCTTATCACCGGGCTAAGAGTTGAGGGAAGTCCGCTTCCTCCCCTGTTGCTTCATTCTAACAGTGTAGGCACATACTGCAAAGAGAGTGTTTGCAGCTGAGAATCCCAAGACAACATTGGCCCCTCCTTGCACTCTGTACTTAGCTGCCTTTTTCCAAGACAGGGGCAAAGTGTAGCACACACTGCTCTCATTGGATATTAGCTTAGGTAGGTCCTTGCCTAGCATGATGGTTTTTGTGAATCACAGTGCAAGGCATCTCTGTCTTCCCATTCATTTCAAAGGACCTTAGGGACTTTACTCAGGGCAGATCTACACTACAAATTTACAGTATCACAGTAGCAGTGCTGTAGCGCTTCTAATGAAGATGATCTAAGACAATGGGAGAGCGCTCTCCTGTTGCTTTATACCTCCCCCACCACCAAAGCCACTATATATGTCAGAGAGAGAAGCTCCCCCTACACAGCACTGTCTATGTGGGCACTTATGTCAGTATAACTACGTCACTTGGGGGTGTGGCTTATTCACAACCGTGAGCGATGTAGTTATACCAAAGTAATCATGTAGTGTAAACCCAGGATCACACTTTATGAATTACAGGAATTTTCTGGGAGACTAAAAGTTATAAGTTGTGACTCAGTCACAACACCTAATTTCTTAGGCTAGTGGTTCTCAACTAGGAGACTGGGGCCCTCTAGAAGGCTGTGAGCAAGTTTCAGGGGATCCATTAAGCAAGGCCAGTTTTTAAATCTCAGGAGCCCAGGACAGAAAGTCAAAGCCCAGTATAGGGAGCAGAAGCCCAGTGCCCTAAGCTCTGTCACCAGGGTCTGAAGCTGAAGCCTGAGTAATGTAGGTTTGCGAGGGCTCCTGTGGTGTGGCGTCCCAGGCAATCTCCCTGCTTTCTATCCCCTAACACTGGCCCTGGTTTTATATGCAGAAAACTAGTTACTGTAGCACTAGTGAACTGTGGAGTTTTTATAGCATGTTGGGCAGGCCTCCGTAGTAAAAGTTCTCAATCCTTTTTTTTCCTATCAGGAATTCAGCAGCTATGAGAGAACAAATCAGATGATAGCTATGCCATTGTCAAAAAAGTCTGCAGGGGAGTGTGGATTCCAGTGTTCAATTTGTTTGTAATGATGTATGAAGCAGAAGGTTAAACTGTTTGTAGTCTGGATACTTCAATGCCCAAATCAGCAAGATGCTAAGTACCTTGCCAGGAATGGTGAGTTTTCAGCTCCCCAATGCAACTGTGGGTGCTTAGCTTCTCTCAAAAATGTGGCCATACATCCCAAAAGAATTTAAATGAGTTGGGGTGAATTTCCAGTCAAAAGGCAAAACTCAGGGGGAAATAATTGGGCCAAGATTTCAACCCTTGACCATAAAATACTGAATGAACTGTTTTATTCTTTAATCATTTTACCAAGTTATTCTGGTATTTTATAAATGTTTTTCTGACACTTAAAAGCTTCAACCAGGCTCCTTTAGTTCACCAAGATATGCAACAGTTAAAGTTTCCACCAGACAGGGGGTGCTCTGGCTGACTGGAGCAGCTCTACCTGCTGTGTGCCCCATGGGGCTGGAACAGCTCTCTGCTTAGAACAGGCGGGAAGCTGTTCCAGCCCCTACTGGTTAACCAGAACTGGTAAGTCTCACCCATTAAAAGTAAGGCTTTCCAGTTACCCTTTTACATCCTTGTGTGGTGGACCATCTGTTTATCATTCTTTGATATCATTCTTTGAAACACGAAAGTTTAATCTCATCATGCAATATTTCTTTAAAGTTCAACCTAGAATCTTGGAATGATTGTTATAGGTCAGTTTTTCACAATTATATTTTAATACCTGCCTGGGCCAGTTCCACATTGAAGGCTCTCAGAGCAAAAGCAGAGGTGCGGGATTCTGCAGGCAACAATAGAGAACACAGAAACCCTTCATAGTCACGTTTCCTATATATGATCAACAAGAGAGTACATGTCATTATATGTAAATTGAGCATTCTATTGGTAAACACTGAATTTACTTCTAATAAGAATAAATTGCAAGCTCAGCTAGTAATACTGACCAAAACAAAAGTAGTACTGTGAACAGTTTAAAAAAAAAAAAAACAACACATTTCATTCATTCCTCCCAGAATGCAATCCAAACATCCTATGCACCAACTGGGAGCAGCTATATCTTTCACAATCAAATTGAAAGATTTGCCCCAGATCTCCTGACTGCCAATCTTGTGTTCTAATCACGCAGTCACACGCAGAAAATATAATATTTTATTATAAAATACAAAACTCTTTGGACCTTGGCAGAGGACTTTTCGCTGGACAGTGATTTCTGGCTATGTCTACTCCTGGTGCTGGAGGTGTGATTCCCAGCTTGAAAAGACATAGCCACATTAGCTCTCATAAAATAATAGCTAACCATAAAATGTAGCTGCAGCTACATGATCTGCTTGACAGGCTAGCCAGCCCAACTACCTGCCTAAGAACTTGGATGAGCAAGTATTCAGGGCAAGTATGCAGCTACCTTGTCCCACCACTTGTACTTCCATGCATATGCTTTATTTTTTGTTTGTTGGCTCAATGAACACTAATCCAAGTAGGTCTCCTCAAGCTGAGAATCAAATTCCCAGCTCAGATATACATATTTTGTTTGTTTGCAATTCCAATCATAGCATAAAATTTACGGCTATGGCAAACTTACTACAGGTAATATGCTGCTGATCTAAAGTGATATATATTCTTTTGATCATGTGGCTATGCCATTACATTAAAAACAACTGCAGGACACGCAACCATGCCATAAAGTGCAGAGTCCTACACAACTATTCTTATTGCAAGCAGAATTCAAAATCATCCAAATAGTTAAGGTGCCTTTTTTCAGCCTTCCATTCACAGTAGGGTGAAATTTTGGTTTCAGGGTTCAGCCCCTAACTTCAAAATCTGGGCACACATTTATTCCATTTCAGGAGAATTGTTAATTCCCGCCCACCTCATTTTAATTGCATTTGTTTCACAGATGAAGTAAAAATAAAAAAGTGGGCAAGTTTTAACTATTTAATTATTAGAATCAAAGCAAAAAGAAAACTAGAACAAATCCCTGAAAAGTACTTTGGGTGACCTTGGGCAGCTACTTTATAAATTTATTCTGGAGCCTGATCCAAACCCCACTGAAGGCAAAGGAAAGATGCCCATTGATTTCAGTAGGATTTTGATCAGGTCATTAAAGGGCACTTTCATAGCTAATTACACACACAGCAAACATTCCTCAGATGAGGCAGTTTTAAAGGAATACCATGAATTTGAAATTGTCATTTTAAAAGATGTGTTAAAGAAGTATTACACCTGCCCCTGCCTCAGGACTACTGGCCCTAAGGTCAACTGAGGAGGGCATAGCTGGGAGCTGGACCAATAGCCACAAGGGTCTTGCCAGCTGCAATGTGTGTGGCTGCAGGCCTCAGCCAAAGGTCTGCTCCCACCCCCAACTGCTGTCCCAGCCTCAGCTCTCGCTCTCTCTCCCCTGTCCGTGTCCCTCCATCCCAGAGCCAGCAATTAACATGTGTGAGAGGGCACCAGGTCAAAAGCCTGGCGACCGCTATTATAAATAATCCACTGTCTCAAGAGAAAACTTCCCTCAAGCTAGCAGTGTCTACGCTGGGAGTTGGAATGACATAGCTGGGGGGAGCGGGCCTTTCAGCACAGGGCCGGTGGCTTGTAGAGTAGGACTGTGCTACCCCTGGTAGCAATCTATTGTAGGAGCGGTTCTTTACGACCCTACCAATCAGAAGGTGCTACCGGTAGCAGCTCTGCACAAACCACCGGTCTCTGCTCTTCTACGCGCAGGCGGGCGTCAGGCAGCCCCCCCCTCCCC